ACTTAAGGATAAGTAAATGATTACAGAATTTTCATTTTTGGGTAAGCTATCCCGTTAAGTGTTTCAGGTCCTATTCAGTACCCTATTTGTGGTAATTGCCTACTACCCTGGGACAGAGCAGAATCATTTAATTGTAGAGAGCACTGACAACAGTTCAGTGTGTCAAGTTCTTAAAGTACAGACTCATGACAGATCTAATTAATTGCAGTATTACAGAAGAAGTTCAGTTTCTATAAATATAAGGTACCAGTGTGTAAGATTTCTGACCCTTACTGCACATTTGTCTTTTAGAATCTCTAAACGATATAGATGACCCTTTTGCTGTGTAAAAATGTGTCCATACACTTTCCATAAATGAGCTGAGCACTAAATTATTTTGTCTGTGGTAGACTTGAATAGTTATAACATTTTTCAGTATTTATTTATGTGACTCACTTTGATATAATATGCCCAGATTTGCCTTTAATGTCAAGTGCAAAGCTATTGTTACAGTCAACTCAGTCGGCTAACGGAGTGCAGTTGTTAGTTACACTAACAGAAAACACTGAGTTGACAAATTCTGTCATTCTACTGTGCAATTTTAATAATCACCTCAGGAAGGTGGTGAACACGTATTATTTCACTTACCTTACTTATGGTTCAACCATGATGTTAAAACTCACCCTCGTCTCCCCTATAAGAATGTAATACTGTAAGTGTTATTGCAGAGGGAATGAACACAACTCTCTCCAGTAGGTGGAACAATATTCTTTCAGGAAAATAGCAAGAGGAGGAGGGTAGGGATGAGACAATAAAAAGCATCGTCATACAACATTAATTCACATTAAATATTCAGCATTCTTAACCAAGTCACGTGGCGGGCATAGGCCTGGGTAGCCTATATACTGAGAATAGTAAAGGGATACCTTATGCGAAGTTGCTGTAAACTACTTAAAACTTAGTTATACTGTCATATTTGTTCAATATGACAATTAGCCTAGTTATGTCTCTGCAGGACAGTAACGTGCGTGCCCCGTTCCGTCCTTCATCAAGCTCTGGTCACTCACGTCACATAGGGTTGGGCGGACCCAGCGTTCCGTGGGGTCCATGACGACCCGTGTAGAGGAGGATAAGGGTACCGCCTAAAAACAGACGCTTTTATTGGACACACAGTGTTGCTAGGCGCTGCGGGATGTCCATAACAGCGCATCAGCACGGGAACCGAAGCTAACTATGAACGCTATAACATAACGAGGGAGGAATCTTTAGGGAGGTGTCGGTGCCGTATTATCCGAGATGAGGAGAGCATTGCCGCAGTGAGCAAATAATCTCATCAACGGGCTCTGGATTTCATGTCCCTTACAGACGCTGACATTTATAAGAAGCAAGGGTAGGCTACTCAGGTTTGAAGCTGCTATGTGGTCGCTTGGTCAAATTAGACGTCTGAAAGACCATTCATTAAAATGTTATTTCAAGGGACAGCTGCGCACTTTATAGCTTTGTGACGGATTAAACAACGTGACAACCTCTGTCAACTACCTAGCATGGTGAGTTAAATACTGATATTAGTTTCATATTGAAAAAATATTTTAAAATTCTTTTATAGCTTTTAAAGTAGGCTACATTTGTGGCATGATTTTTTTATGTAAGGGAGCGTACCTCTTACTTGAAAAAGAAGTTAATGCCATTAGTAACTATATATATATGTTCTGTTTTGCTTTTTCAGATAATTGTATAAATATTTGATTATAATTAATATTAGCTGTTATATGTAAACAACGAGTCTGGCAGTCAGTCCTCAAATGATGCCGAACTGCGTCAGTACAGACTGGTATTGCAGGTATGGCAATCCGTTTTAACATTTATTCATTTAATACGAACTAGTGTCTGTTCTATGTTTCTAGCACTTTTTAAATTAGTATTAAGTAATCCAGTACTTTCTATTTTTTATTTATTAATTCCAGTAGTGAGTAATATTGTTAATTAGTACAAACCCGATTCCAAAAAAGTTGGGACACTGTACAAATTGTAAATAAAAACAGAATGCAATGATGTGGAAGTTTCAAATTTCAATATTTTATTCAGAATACAACATAGATGACATATCAAATGTTTAAACTGAGCAATTTGTACAGTGTCCCAACTTTTTTGGAATCGGGTTTGTACTTACTTTGTAGAACTTACTTATTTGCTGCCAGTCATTATCCCACAACTATTGTTATTGGTGACACATTTCCAGTATTCCAGTTGTTACTAGTGACATTTCAAAACTTAATTGTAGGAATTTTAATATAAATTATATACTATATCCTATAAAGTATCTAATGGACCTAATGGTCATTATATATGATGCATTTCTGGTGAGATTAGAAACATTACAACAATTGAGATTTTCCCCATGTAAATATGTACTAGTATCTAATAAATATACACTAGTAAATATGGATTTGTATTATTTGGATAGTCTTCTTGTATCTAGAGAAGTTATAAATACTAGTATGTGGAACAAGTGCTAAACACTAATTACTTTTGGGATAAGTACTAATTTCTAATGAATACTTAGTAGTGAAATAGAAACAGATAGTAGTCATTATTTAATTAATTACTGGTAAGGAAACAGCTAGGAACACAAAAAAGATTTAAGTTAGTTCAAGTAATAAATGTGAAAAGTACTTGCCATATTGCAGGTGCATTCATTCAAGGAGGACCATGCAAACGGGTGAATGTCACTGATGAGTGTCCAGCGATTCACTGGTCATGGAAAACCGGACTGGACCCAACTCTGAGCAGCAGCCTGTAGGCTTTACAGTTCCCTCTGTCCCCTCAAAAAAGACTGTAATTTATGAAAATGGCCATGAACATCCCACTCACACAGACCCCACAGCTGCAGCACACAGAAGGGCCAGCGATCCAACTGCATACCCTCTATCAGATTACAAAGGTCTGGTCCGGCAGAGATTTATACGCAGAAGTTTGTGGTTCTCTGAGTCAGAGGATCAAGAATTGGAGATTTCAGAATGCGACACCACCAGCAGTCCTGTTAAAAGTTCTCATATTGCTGTTCAGAGGAGCTGTAACGTGGAGTGTCAGGTGGGACAGGGGGAAGGTGTAAAAGAGAACTTCACCAAAGAGCCAGAGACAAGTGTCGCTGAGGAAAAACATGATGCTGAACCATCTGAAACGTCCAAGAGTGTGGGGAAAGCTGGGAGTGATGAGAACGAGGAAGAGGCCGAAATGAAGGCCGTATCCACCTCTCCAGGTGGACGCTTTCTTAAGTTTGATATTGAGCTTGGCAGAGGGTCCTTCAAAACGGTCTATAAAGGCCTGGACACTGAAACGTGGGTGGAGGTGGCCTGGTGTGAACTTCAGGTAAGGAAAATGCAGTTACAACGTATTCTCAATTTTAACCACTGGAGTTTTAAATCTTGCAATAACTCCTATTGGCCTTTTTTCCATAAAGGCTTTGTCTGTTATTGGTCTTTCCAAATTTGTTGACATGTTATTTAATATCATTATCATTGATATTGCAAAAAAGTGTCAGATAACCAACAGATCTACTTAATTTGTTGGGCATAATGACTAGATTTGTATCAATTATCTAGAAGTTAAAACTGTAACTGTGAACTGTAAGTAAAAATTAAGTTTCTGTGTAGTTTGTTATTAACAAAAAAGTCTGTATTTTTCTGATTGATCCTGTTGCCATTCAAAATGCCTGCTCCTTATACAAGTTTGCCGGGTCATCTGATATGGCCTCTTCCTTTTATCAGCACTATTGATTGTAAAATGGAGAGATTGAATCACCATGACCACATCTAGATCAGATTTCCTGTTTCCGTGTTGTAGTCTATAATCATTTAAGGTTCAGCTGAGTTCAACAGAGAATAGTAAGTGTTAAAATTTTTGTTATTGCTTTCTGGAATATTGGGAGAGCCCGATTATGTTAAAAGTGATGCATCATAATACCTCCTGCAAACAGCTTTGTGCTGTTTCTAGCTTGTGGTAAATATGTAAATATAGTTAATATATTTCAGAGCTCACTCAAAAATCATTGAAGTAGACATTTAGAGTAGGGTGTGGACACAAACAAACTCTGTAGAGAAGCAGTGCACAAACCTGGAGAATCAGTCCCCTCTGCATAGGGGTCATGTGATAAGGGTGGTCATGTGCACTTACCTGCTGAAATGATGCAATAGTAAAATGCTATCAAGTGTTATATTCTCCTCTTTTTTTAAAGGGGTCATATGATGCAATTTCAATTTTTCCTTTCTCTTTGAAGTGTTACAAGCTCTTGGTGCATAAAGAAGATCTGTAAAGTTGCAAAGACTAAAGTCTCAAATCCAAAGAGATATTCTCCACTGACGATTCAAACGCGAGCAGTGTAGAGTAGCGCTTGTTGTTTGACATTTCTCCAATCACAAATGCAGACATGGTATTAAGTTTACGCAACGCAACGCGTAAAAAGACAGTGTAAGTCATTATAATCCGTATTTTGAACCTTAAACCGCATAAACACATTTCATTACACCAAATACACAAAATAATGTTCTTTTTAGCAACATCATATGACCCCTTTAAATAAATTTTCAGGTCTAAACTCGAAAACAAGAGAGTCATGTTTTACCTGAGCAATTTGTGATTTGTGATCAGGTAAAACATGACTTAGAATCATATACAATAACATTTACCCTTTATTATTTTCATATAACACATTTTTACTGTATACAATCAACAGAAAAGCTGATTGAAAAATACCTCGTAGACTACTAAGAAGAAGCTTATTTTCCTTTTGGGAAGACAGGATTATTTCTACGTTCAATGTCCATGGAAGGATGACTAGGCAGTTATGATCTCTGAAGTTCTGATGTTATACCTGAAAATGGTCTGTTTTTTGTTTCTGTGTGTGAGCAGTGTTATAAAAAAGGGGCTCCCAGTCAATATTTGTGAGATTGTTGCTTTGTCTCTCTGAATGAACGACTTCCTTTTTTATTCCATTCTATATTTGAGAGAGTGTTACTGTCTGTATTACAGCCATTGTATGGGGCATGTTGTCGGTTTTGGATAGGATTTATCCTGCTTTGTGAATCTTAAAAATCACATGGAGGGAATTAGCAGCATATATTGTGACTGCCGAGCATAGCGGTCTTAGCAAGCCAAAAATTGCTGAGTCCCCTAAATCTGCTAGGAGGGAGAAGAGAGAGAAAGGAAGAGACAGAGGAACAGGTCAGATGAGGTGAAGATGGCTGTGTACTAAGGAACGCCTTCCCTCACATCAAGCAGTAGCATTCTCAAGACAATATAAAAGATGTTCCTAATGGACCATTTTATGTACAACTGAACGCCCAACCTGACTTATCCCTCATTTGTCTGACAAGGATGCATCAGCAGCATAATGAACATATTAAAAAGCTGTTATCTTCTGCTGTCTGTGAGTCTTCATTATCTAAAGCCACACCCCGGCCATATGTAGAAATGAAAAGCCCTTTTCCTTTTGTGAGAGCTTCTGATTTAACACACCCCTGAAAATAATCAATGCCACAGTGTTTAATTTGTTTGTGTTTAAAGGGGTGGTTGACTGTTTTTTCTTTGTAGGCTTGATTGTGTTTATGGGGTGCAGTCTAACATGTGTTAATGCTTCGTTTAAAAAATAAACGCATTATTTTTCAACCGCCTCTAGTGCGTGTCTAAGCGTCCCGCCCCTCACCTCAGCATCATGTGCTCTGGTTGTATTTTAAACAATGGAGTCATCTATATTGCTTATCAATTTGAACCCGATTGAGACGCAGAGGATATTAGTGAAGAGTATCGCGCAGAACCTGTGCAAGCATGGCTATTAATGGTATGTTTTTTTGTTTGTTGTTGTCTCATACTTTTATATATGCTGTTATTTGTAAATGCTACTGCTTCTGTTAGCTTTTAATATAAGGTTTTATCCTGATTAAAGCTTTAATACAGTACGGCAACTGCACGTGCGTCCATGTATAACGCTTCTCATAGCTGTTCCCGGGGGCGGGGTTTGTGATGTCACAAACCCGGGAAGTAAGTTGTTGTAGTCCCTACAAGTTTTTGTAGGCATTGAACTGCCATAATTTTAAAAGACGATATCTCCGTTTGCATTTAACTTTCAGCGCCGCAACTTTGCAGATATTTTTTATGCTCAAACAGCAACATTTCACAATAACTAATGTTTAAAAAGTGAAATCGCAATCAACCACCCCTTTAAACTGTATCAGAAATGCAATTACATTTTGGGATACTTTTTCAACATATTAACATATATAACTTTGCAATTCGCTTTTATAGAAACCACCTAGGAATCTGGTAGCATGTTTGGTCTGAAGTGCTTATAGACTGTAGAGTAAATTGAGAATGGGGGAGGTCGAATGAAATATATGTCTGTGTGTGTGTGTCTCTGAGTTCATGAGAGGTATTAGATGGCGCAGTGTGGGGGTGAGTCTCAGAGGTTTTATGGGGTTGCACATCGCCTGATTGTGAGGGACAGATATGTTACAGATACTCCCTGTCAGCATTTAGTAAATTTAGCAGCAGGAAGAGGGCAGATGCAAAGGTATTGATTTGGTCAGCTTCTTGACCATAGCTACACACCAGCATGTGAACCACCACCAGTGACACTGTAACTGTAGCATTTTCAAGCCTAGCACAACTGCTGTACACATTAGGTTTAGCCCTACTGCAAGTATCTCTCTAACCCGCAGTTACATTTTGTATACCGATTAAAGAGACTTCAGTTTTATGTTGATTCAGTTCTATTCAGTTTATCAGACAAACCCCAATACAAAATGTTAGGGTGAGACTTTTTTTAAAGGGGTCATATGATGCTGCTAAAAATAACATTATTTTGTGTTGTTTATTTTAATTATATTTTCTGCTTGCTACTGCATATCAAAGGGCTTCAAAATGTTAATCACACATCCCTCTCTTTGAGGGGTATGCATATTTTGCCTTTCATGTTGCTCAATATGCTTTCATAACTGTAGTTTAGTTGTTGTTTTTTATTTCTTATCTGCCTTTGATCTTCTTGACTTTCTTAGTCATATCATGTTCAGAGATATTGTCCTCACCCCCACCCCCACGACCACACAAAAACAAAAATACAATAAAACAGATATATTGTCTATCCATAGAAAGATATTACAGCGAATGTGTGCTTTAAATCAATAAAGACTAACCTAAATGTCTTTAGAATGCATGTCTTCCACTGGTCAAGAGTTATTTTATAGAGCTATCTTTTTCCTGTAAGGAGGATAATTGAGTTTTCCCAACAGTGTGGCAGTTTAGTAAATTCAGTTCAGTACATCTCTTACATATCGTTACCATATGTATGTCTATCAATCCATCTCTCTTTCCACCTGTCTTTCTGTCTCTCACTTTTCTCCTGGCATGTGCCTGGAACCTCAAAAACCAATGCTGACCCCTTGCCATCTCAGGATCGTAAGCTGTCCAAAGCGGAACGTCAGAGGTTTAAAGAGGAAGCAGAAATGCTAAAAGGTCTTCAGCATCCAAACATTGTGCGCTTCTATGACTTTTGGGAATCTCCTCTAAAGGGGAAGAAGTGCATTGTTTTAGTCACTGAACTGATGACGTCTGGAACACTGAAAACGTGAGTCAACTAAAACAAAGACATGTAGCAACTGATGCTAACACACCAGGGTTAGCATCTTAGTTGGTTTGAGTTGCTAGCTGTGGGACACCAAGGAATGTAATCTGCCCTATTACAACTTGCATTACTTTGCACAAAACTCAATTTTGTCTACAATATAACATTTAGATCACATATTGAAATTTGTGAAGACAATGATCTCCAACCCAGTTTCTGTTATTATGTAGATATCTGAAGCGATTCAAGGTGATGAAACCAAAAGTTTTACGAAGCTGGTGCAGACAGATCTTAAAAGGTCTTCACTTTCTCCATACGAGGACCCCTCCCATCATCCATCGGGACCTGAAGTGTGACAACATCTTCATCACAGGTCCTACAGGCTCCGTCAAGATTGGAGATCTTGGCCTGGCCACTCTAAAAAGAGCTTCCTTCGCCAAAAGTGTAATCGGTAATAGTCGGGAGAGTGACAGGGTTTTGAGATTTATCAGATTAGGCTACATTGAATACAACATTTAAATAGCCTGTTTAGATGATGTAGACTGTAGCTTACATCCATGTAGTTATTGATTTTTTTCCCTTCTTGGTTTCTTCCCATTTTAGGCACTCCAGAGTTTATGGCCCCTGAGATGTATGAGGAGCACTATGATGAAGCAGTAGATGTGTATGCATTTGGGATGTGTATGCTAGAAATGGCTACCTCTGAGTATCCATACTCAGAGTGCCAAAATGCAGCACAAATCTATCGCAAAGTTACTAGCGTAAGTTTGAGCAAAGTACTCTTCACCAACCATCATTAATTTTTTTTAGAATGTAATATTACTTGAGTGAAAAAATACACTATCATGTCTAACATAGAAGGTATTATCCATGAAACATGTTGCATAATGCATTTATTCAGAAATTGTCCCATTCAGTTAAATGGCAGAATGTATTTTACATATGATTTACATAGATAATAATTCTGCTCATTGGTAGATCTATGTCAGGGGTGGCGAACGTCGGTCCTGGAGAGCTCGCAGCCCTGCAGAGTTTTGCTGTAATTGCAGTCAGATACAAAGGAAAATTTTGAAACTTTTTTTTTTTTTGGTGTAAAATTTCCTTTCAATGTCCATTCGCAAGGGGTTTCAATGAAAATGTATGTGGGTGTGTGTTGGTTTCCTTTTTAATTCACTGCACAGGGTGTGAAGCCAGCCAGTTTCAGTAAGGTGACCATGCCTGAAATAAAAGAAATCATTGGAGAGTGTATCTGCCATCGCTGGGAGGAAAGGTGAGTCCATCAGCTGATGTGTCTCCTGTCACATTACCATAAAGGTCAAAAAGCCTATGCTCCTGTCAGATGTAGCATGTCGTATGATCAGACGACCTTTTCTTGGAAGGCTGCAGCTTTATTTATCTAATATGCTTTACATTAATTCGCTTTTGCAGTAATTTGAACCTTGCTAATGACATGTATTCTGATTCTGATTGTGTACTGCATGCATGGATCATCAATCAGTCAAATAACTTACCATTATTACCAACTTACCATTTGCTACAGCAACATAATAGCATTGTTCATAGTCCTTCAGATGTCAGACTTGTTTTTTAAAACATCTTCTGCACATCTTATCTTGTCCATTTGAATGCATTACATATGGGTTGCTATAGCACCATCACATTTTTCAGGTCTTTACAAACCAAATTTCATCTTCCTCTTCTAAAAGGTACTCTATAAAGGACTTACTAAATCATGCGTTCTTTGCGGAGGACACTGGAGTGAGAGTAGAGCTGGCAGAAGAGGATGACGGCAAGAAGTCTTCCATTGCTCTAAGGCTTTGGGTTGAAGACCAGAAGAAACTTAAAGGGAAGTATAAAGACAGTGGTGCTATCGAGTTCACCTTTGACCTGGACACAGAAGTCCCGGAAACAGTTGCCCAGGAAATGGTAAACAAACATGATTTTTAGAAATTATACTTAATGTTGTCAGATTTTCCTGGTTAGATAAATATTACATAAAAAAAAGAGAACAAATGTAATTCTATTTTGTATTTTATTAATATTATTTTTTTATTTCATTTAATATTTTCTAATTATACATTTCATAGTGTTTTTATGCATTTTTATATTTATTCCAAAATAATAACTAAAGGCAGTAACAATGTGAACAATATTTTGGAAACAATTTACAATAATGTTTCATTAGTTAACTTTAGTTAAAGGTGCAATAGGTGATTTGTCTTCAGGAATTTTTTTTGTCATACTGGTTGAAAAGTCTCTTCACATCCTGATAGCAATCATCAAGTTAAGTGGTCTAAATGTATTTATCTGTATTTATATATTCTGTGGAAGGCGACACAAAGATATATCTTTCATTTCATCACGCTGAATGCTCGCTAAAAACTGACGCGGTCATCATGTTTACTTACTTTATAATTAGTCAATGATGCCATTTTCTTCATTCAGGCCGAGAGCTCACACGAAAACAAGAGGCGGGATTTATCGCATGAACCAATCACATTCAATCATAACTGATCATATCCAATTATAGCGTGATGGAGGCATTGCCTCCTCTCACATTACTTTCCCCCATTCATTCTCTATTACCCCCCACTAAACAAATGGCATGCTAAGGGGTCTCTGTTGTACTGTTGTAAGTCTATGGACTGAAGGGAGGCAAGCCTCCGCTGTAACTTTACCTGCGGGTGTCGCTATTGGACAGTGTTACTTTATAAAAACGAGTGACTTTTATACTTTTAATGCCATATTTAGTAATATTTGCGATTTATGTTTGTAATATTGATTATTTTGTCATCCAATTTTTTGAGGAGACACTGCCTCCCTTACCTCCTCGGAGGGAACGCCACCCTGATACATAGACATGTATTGGATACTCATAGTTTGGAATACTTTCAATAATTCAAGAAGTAATAGTCACTATTTAAGAGTTGTTCAATTATCTATTCTGGCAGGTGGACTCTGGCTTCTTTTTAGAGATTGATGTGAAGATTGTGGGTAAGTCTATCCGTGACCGTGTGTCTCTAATAAAGTGGAGAAGACAGCGGAGTGCCTCAGCCAGTAATGGAAAGACAGAAGAGAGAAGCACCAAGACTCAGGCACAAAATCTCCTTCAGGTGCCCTCCACAGGGCCACCAGTGGGTGGACCACCCAGTCTTCCATCTGAAACGGAGCTACAGACTGAAGCAGTCAGCCTGATTTGCAGTGCCCCAACAAGTGCTACTACAGCTACACGTGAGAGACATCTACAGATATATGTATAGTTGACACTGTGGTACTTAATTCTTCAAATAAATCCATACAAAAGATGGAAAGACCAGTACAATATTGTGTTTCTTTTTTAAAGTACGTTTTAAATCAGTCATTATATGAATGGGTCTGAGATTAATAACGATATCCACAGAACCAATAATATGTTGTAATATCCACAGAACCAAGAGATTTATTTCACTTGATTATATTTAACTTGATTATATTATGTTAATTATTTAGTTTAATTGTTTTGTATAACTTAATGCAGGTATGCAACAATTTCCCTTGCTTCAACAACTTGAATATGTACTTTGTGTTGTTTGTCCCAACTAATGCAGCAGACAGCAGTGCAGGCTCAACAATGGTAACAGGCACTTCGGGCAACCAAGACAGCACCTCTCAGCAATCCCTATCTGAGTCCATTTCCACTGCCCAAAGGGTCTTAAGCCCTCCAGCACAGCTTCTGGCTCAGTTGCCAGAAGGTGCCCAACAGCCGTATACTGCACACCTGCCTCTGGGGACTCAACAACAACCTGCTCTACAAATACCCCAAGGTGTCCCACAACAAACCATTGGTCAGTTACTCCACGGGACCCAGCAACAACCTAGTCCTCAGCAACCCCAGGGAGCCCAACAACAGCTTAGTGCTCCCATGCACCAGTCTGCACAAGCACAGGCCCATGGTTTGGTGCCACAAGCACCCCAGCAACAACCCACCGTTCAGCTGCACCAGCAATATCAGCAGTCAACTCATCAGCTACATCAAGGGGCTTTTCAGCAATCTTCTGTACACCTGCATCAGAGCGCCTACCAGCAATCACCTGTAAGTTTGTATTTAAATTCACCATATCATTGCAGTCGAGCTTTACTTTGTTGGAAAACTCCAAGACCACCATCTTTATTCCCGTTCTTTTCTTCCCTTAGAACTGTTTTTTTTTAATGTTATGATGACTGTCTACATTTAAAAAATGTGTTTTTTTCCCTCAAACTGTGGCTGAATGAGCAGCGACATGGCAGTATTTCTGGTGACTCCCAAAGAACTATGCTATTCTCCGATAACTTGACGGGGACCAGGCGTAGCAGCACCTCATTTCTCGACACATTACGGAGGAGGACTGAATTTCAAAATTTGTTAGAACAGCTGCATCATCAGGCTTATAGTTGTCACAAACCTGAAGCAAGCTCTAAGGATGAAATGGATCAGTTGTTGTCTACAAGTGCCCTCATAGGTTCTTCATCATTCACAAATGAAGATCAGGCACCAAATAATGTTTCTGAAGACACCGGAGCTGAATATAGTTCAGAGCAGGTGGAAATTAATTCTCAGGCCCAGACAATGTCATTCAGTAGGAGGAACTCTGATGTTCACCCGCATTACTGCCATGCTTGTATGGCAATGTTACTGGCTGTAAGGTCAAGGGGTCGAGGGTCTCTCGGTCATGCCTCTTCACCCTCTTCCTCCCCCATCCACCAAAACATGCCACCTCTTTCCTCATTAAAACCATCGTTCCCACCTGATCTAGCTCATCCAGACTCCAGCTCACCAATTTATATGACCCCACAGTCTCCATATATATCTACGCTGCCTCCAAAGCAAGTTTCTGTTACTAAGAACATACCAAGTTCAATACCAGTTCAAGTCACCCCACATTCTCCGGTCCATAAAAGCCATTCTCCTTCACAGATTCCTGTGACAGCTCTACCTAACAACATGTCATCACTAAGCCACACCACTGCGTTTACCCCTGTCTATGTATCTATACCTTCACCAGTTCACACATCTTCCAGGCACATGTCCATATCTTCACCAGTCGATCCACCCTCCCCACTCAGGTCGTCCTCTCCAGTGTCCCCTATCACTGGACCACATTCTCCTAATTTGAGAGACGGCTCAGATTTGTCTCACCTCCATCGCTGTCTACATCAGATCATCAATCGGCGAACCAGTTCCCCAGTGCTGACTGACAGGGCACAAGCTGGAGATGGCTACAGTGATGCTAGTGTTAGGTTCCTTGTACCTCAGGTCCAAAGCGTAGGCTCTTTGTACGTACCCCTGTCACATCAGGAAACTGGGTCTTTTTCTGTGCAGGACAGTGAAGTTGGATCAGGTCTTGTGGTGGGTGAAAAATAAAACATAGTAGCTATGATCCCAGCAAAGAAGTCTAGAACAAACATTCACTTTTGGCTCACCTATACTTTCCAAGCTTCTTCTTTACCTTCTTCCATATGTATTTAGGTATTGCTCCCAAATTCCAATTCCTTCTAGTTGTATTCCTATATAGCATTTAAGAGAAAAACTGTACTTTGTTTTTGGAACTAAACTGAATGTGTTTCCTCTAATCACTGCTATTTCTCAAAAAAAAAAAAAGAAATAGGACTGTCTTCAGGGGACTATTATGTCCTTTTGAAGGACATAGTCTCTTATGGCGCTTTTCCACTTCATGGTACAGCACGGTACGGTTTGGTATGGTTCACTTTTGGGGGGTTTTCCACTGGGTACAGTACCTGGTACCTGGTACTTTTTTCAGTACCACCTCAGTTGAGGTTCCAAGTGAACCGTACCGTTACCAAAACGTGACGTGTAAACTCTGCTGATCACTGATTGGCCGGAGAGAATCGTCACTACCTGCGTCACTGAACTTGCGACACAAACACAAAATAAACACTAGATTTAAATCAGCACAGCCAACGAAGGATCGAACGCAACTGTTTTGAACGAGCGCAACTTTTTTTAACAACCAAAAAATGGCTGTTTCGTTGTCTGTTGAGGAAGTACAGATGTTCCTCTCATTAACAGCAGAGGAGCGGATCCAGTGAGAGCTTGATGGGGCGACGTGGAATGAAAAAGTTTTTCAGGAGTCGCTGCAGTAGAGGCGGCGCAACTATAACGACATGTGAATAATCCCACCCACTCTAAAGCAGTACTAAACTGCAGTGGAAACGTAAACCGAGCCGTGCTGAGCCGAATCGTACCACGCAGTGGAAAAGCGCCATTAGCAGACTGCTAGATGGCACAGCAAGCTGACTGAACAATAAATGACTGCTGCTGCAACACTGCAAATTATCGCTGTCACCTTGTATGTAGTCTCTTTTAGAGCAACATCCCCTGTGTGTAGAGCAAATCACTGCTCTGATGTTTGATATCTCACATTTTGTTCTTTTGTTCCCTGTCAGTAGCCGATAATTTACCTGTCACATCAAACCATGTGCTGCTAGACTTTCTATTCTACTATAATCTTGAAGAACTGCTTTTGGCTGTGTGCTTAATTGCAAATGTTCCTGTATTAAAATTTGTGTTTGTGCATGTGTTTCTCAGCCTTCCGCACAATTGGATCCATCTAAGACCATCTCTGCTCCAGCTACTCCTGTACCACATGCTCGTCCACAGAGCATTCCTGCCTCTGCCCTCTTGGCACAGCAAAACCAGACAACTGTACCACTAGCACAGGAGGTAAGGCTGCTATAGGTTTGATCTCCCTTAAATGAGGACGGATGCATTCCTGTGTCTTAGCGAAGTGATAGGTTAATAGTTTAATTTAGTCTTTGTTCTTCCTTGTGTTTGTATTTCTCTCAGTTTCATCTCTATTTCCATCCTGAAGCTTTCCCGCCTCAGGTAGACTCAATCTGTATAAACAACATCAGTCTTTTTTAAAATGTTCTGGAAATTTTGGGATTTCAGTTTCAGTCATGCCATAAATTTGATCAGTTTATTGAAAGTCCACTAAACAAGGAATAAATTCCATTTTATCACTGACTTTGATAAAGATGTGATAGGCAGCATAATCCATGGGAGCTGTGGATTAAGTGTTCTTGAAATTAGTTTTAATTTTAAAATCAGTTCTTTTTCTTTTTTCTCTCTTTGTCTTTCCCAGCCTTTATCAACATTTCAGCCCCCAGCGCAGCCATCTTCAGATCCTCAGTCCATTCCACAGCATCCATTACAGTCAGCATCTTCAATGCTCAGCACCACTAGCCTTCCTTCACAACCACAGCTAAATGTTCAGACACCCCTTCTCCAGCCTCTACAAATTGCCACACAGGTCAGTTCCTGAAACCTGTAACTAGGCCTATGTGTGCAACAGCTTTTCTCAGATACCAGAACAAGTACATTATTTAGGCAAGTTTTAAATTTGTTCAACATTAGATGGCAGCAGTTGAGGGATTTTCTTAATTCTACATGCAAAAATTTAGCTTTCTAGCTTACCTCTGGCTGTTTACATTTTTATCTTGCTCTTTAATCTTTAGTTTCCTTCGACATATCCTCTTTTGCCAGAAGGGGGCACATCTGCAGGGACAGAGTCAATACCTTTCTCCTCAGTCTCTTACTCTTCTCCCTACCCCACAAATGCTCCTCTTGTATCTTCCCCCTACTACTCAGCAAGCCCTATTACTGCTCCTCTTCCCATACTACCAATGCAGAATGTACCCTGCATGCTAGGAGCAGGAACACCTGTGTCCACCCCTCTGAATGTTCCTAACCCTATACCTCTCCTGGCTATGGCCCTGTCCCCACCCATGCTTCCTCCAGAGGAACATCTGCAGCAGATATACTCCCCAGTTCCACCACCAGAAGGTGCCCTTTTCCAATCTCAACCCCAACCAACACAGCCCTCCCTTCCCATCCCTAATCCAGCCTCCCTCTTCCAGCAAGACCTATCTATTCCTGAACCTTTTACAGAGGTAAATTATGTGGTTTCTTTCTTGCTTAATGCAAGGATTGTTTTTCATATGGTGAATGTGTATCATAATAATGGCAGTACATTAATCAGGATTGGTGCAGTAGTGCCTTGTCATAGCAATCAATGATACAGGATAATAAGTATTATTCCGTGAGCCTTACAATTGAGGTCAAGGCTTCTGTCGCACAGTGAAACACAATAATGTTTTTCTTCAACAGGAGTACCCTCGCCATGAGGAAATGCAAATCCTGGCCCCAGCTCACACCATTGTGTCACAGATCCAGTCTCCTCCACAGGACAGGCAGTCAGAGCCAAACTTTACCACTGCCCAAGCCCCACCAGAGACTATGGAGCCTCCTCTGCAGCCTGCTGGCATACAGACAGGATATGCTGTTCCTGAGAGCACTGGCAAGCAAATGGCAGACACTACTTCAATGCCTATTCCTCCTGCACCAGAGCCCAGCCCATTTCAGCCCAGCACTGAGGCAACAGTAGGCATAAAGCCTCCCTTATATGACTATAATATGTATTCTTAAAACAAAGTACCACATGGATCACTGAAATAATAATGTTTTCCTTGCAGGCACCTGTATATATTCCATTCCATAGTTATGTATGTGACAGGTAGGTAGATGTTATTATTCCCTGAAAAACTTATGGAAATTGCATATCTGATTGAATGCAAACATCATGTGATTTTTTTATTTACAATGGGTGTTTTTGACCTACTTATAGTGGCAGATACAACCCAATGCATTACAATAATATAAATCATCTCAAATTGTCTCCTAGCAAGTTTTTTTCTTCAGGTTATTCTGTCTTGTTTGTTTAGCCTAAACCAAGATGCAGGTTCTGGTAAAGAAATGAGTGACAGCTATGAGGGACCCACTGGTGGAGGAAAGGGTGATGGCAAACCTAGAAAGCACCATCGCAAATCTGCTCGTATGCGCTCACGCCAGGAAAAAATTAACAAGCCAAAGCTAAGCATGCTAAATGTGAGGATAAAATATTTCTTTTTTTTTAAATATAACTGTTTTTTTGCAGTTACCTCCTAACGTGATGTTGTACTTCCAGGTTAGTAAAACAGGTGACAAGATGGTGGAATGCCAGCTGGAGACACACAATCATAAAATGGTGACTTTCAAATTTGACCTAGATGGAGACGCACCTGAAGAAATAGCCACTTATATGGTGAGATTAAGCTTCTGCGCGGACTTTCAGAACATTACAAAACAATATTGTTCTGCTTAAGATTTGAAATTAAAATGTAAATGTGTATAGTCTACCATCAGTTTAGTGATTCGGCTGAAACATAAAGCTGTTTAATCCTATTACCCTTTTACATAGTTTCTTTTCTGTGCAGCTTTGTAGATTTTGTTTCTCTCATTTGTGTATCAGGTGGAAAATGGTTTTATTCTACCTATAGAAAAGGACATTTTTATAGATCAACTTAAAGACATTGTTGACAAGGCAGAGGACATTCTAAGCGAGGACATGGACGGAGAGAAGACATCAGAACTTGGGACAAGTCATTTGCAAGGACAAACTCCTAGGGATCAAGGGGGAGAGGTAATACAGGAAGTCAGAATCTGACATCTCAAATTTGTAATGTGTGGGTGAAAATTCACTAAAATGACTAGACTGAATGATGCTAACAGCCTCCTGTTAATATCCAGGGAATAAAAGGACAGCAACCTGGGGCCCCGCAGCCTGTTTATCAGCAAAATGGTAATCTTTTTTGTCCACCTGTAATTGGCAAATTTAAAATTCATGCTCCCCAAATGTTTGCTTAAGAATGAATGTATCAGTGTTCAAACAGTTAGCATGGGCTCTTGTCCTTTGTTCAGTTCTGCACACAGGTAAGAGATGGTTCATCATCTGCCCTGTGGAAGAGGCTCCTGCTGCCAGTCAGGATGCATCCTCAGACGGAGGTCCATCTACACAATCTCCATCCACAACAACAGTAACTGATGGGACAGCTCAGCCTAGTGAGAGTGCATCAGCCCAGCCACCAGAACCCAGCACAGGATCTGCCTCTGCATCAATGGGTAATGTCGGGTTGTGCATAATACAGATACAGAAATATTGGAACAAAGAATAAACTGCTTGTTAGGTATTGTATCACAATTGTATCGGCATGTCCCCTACTCCTAACAAAAAGAGTAAATTGGATGTCTCATAGACTTTTTTTGAATATGTTTTGTTTCATTTTACACTTACATTTAGTCATTTAGCAATCGCTTTTATCCAAAGCGACTTACAAATGAGGACAATAGAAACAATCAAAACCAACAAAAGAGGAATAATATGTAAGCACTGTGACAAGTCTCAGTTAGTCTAACACAGTACAAGTAGTAAGGGTTTATTTTATAATAAATAAAAAGAAAACGATTAGATAGTATAGAAAGAGAAGAGAGAGCAGTTTTTTTATTAAAAAGAAAAGTCGAAAGAATAGAGAACACTAGTGTTAGATGGTCATATTTTATGAATACAAAGAAAACAAGTAGATAGAATAGAAAAACAATAGAGAACGCTAGTGTTAGAAGGCAATTTTTATAAAAAGAAAATGGGTAGTTAGAATAGAAATAGAATAGAAAGTGTAAGTGTTACAGGGTCAAGTTGTTTTTTAATAAATAAAAAGAAAACAAGTGAATAAAATAGAAATAGAATAGAGAGTGCTAGTGTTAGAGGCTCAAGTGTAGATAGAAGAGATGTGTTTTTAGCCATTTCTTGTAGATCCCCTAAGGACTCAGCTGCTCAGACTGAGTTGGGCAGGTCATTCCACCAGCAGGTAACAGTTAAGGTAAAACACTGTGAAAGTGATTTTGTGCCTCTTTGGGATGACACTAAAATGTGCTGTTTACTTGCAGAACGCAAGCTTCTGGAGGGCACATAAGTCTGAAGTAATGAATTTAGGTAAAGGTGCAGAGCCAGTGGTTGTTTTGTAGACAAACATCAATGTCTTAAATTTTATGCGAGCAGCTATTGGTAGTCAGTGCAAATTGATGAACAGAGGTGTGACAAGCTCTCTTTTTGGCTCTTTAATGACTAATCTTGCAGCCGCATTCTGGATTAGTTGTAGAGATAGATAGAACTGGCTGTAAGACCTCCCAAGCGAGCACTGCAATAGTCCAGCCTGGACAGAACAAGAGATTGAACAAGAAGTTGTGTAGCATGTTCCGAAAGAAAAGGCCTGTAAGGTTGAGTTGAAGGTGATGATTCCTAAGATTTTGTTTTGTTTGTTTGCTTTCATTCCACAGATTCAGAAGCCTGTGCCACAGCACCTCCATCTGGAGGAAGTGATCCTTATGGGGTTTGGAGCCCCCTTTCTATGACCACTACTGATCCTCTGTCTTTGGCTGCTCTTTCCCAAGCTCCCTCTGCCCCACAAACTGCTGTAATGCCAGTGCAGCCTGCTTCCCATTCAGAGAAGGGGCCACAATTGGGCTCCGCCCAGGTCAGTGTGCAACAATCCCAGCCATGCATGGATCCTCAAAGCTCTCTTTTTGTGGATGAGATCCAGAGTGGCAGATTAGGCTCAGTTTCCCCCATGCACACTGCTCAGCAGATGGCTGAAATTGCATGTGCTGTCTCCATGCTGGAGGACGTGCCCTGCTGTCCCTTGGTCATGCCGCTGTCCCTTGAAGTGAGTAGTGGGGCTCAGAGGTCATCCTCTGTGATGCCGCCACCATCACAAGAGAGTACGTCTGCTCGTGAGCAACTTCACTCCATTACGTCGAGTCGAGTGGAACGTACACAGCAGCCTGTAGTGCTGCAGCAGCCTTTGTCAACTGTGAGTGGAAATAAGGCACCATCCCTGCCTCAAAGCCCCGCTCCTTCACAGCACCACTTTGTCCCTAGTGAATCAGATGGAGAGGCACGTACCAGAGGAGGGTTTGTAGACAGCACTATTAAGACTCTGGACGAGAAACTGAGGAATTTACTATATCAAGAGTATGCTCCCATGTACCCATCGGGAAGTGCTGCTGAAACTCCTGGATCTGGCACAGAGTATATCCAGTCTCCACCAGGAACAGAGAGTGCAGTGGGAGGGTCAGGAACCAACACACCTAGTCTTATGGGAGAGGGACGATTCAGAGCAGGAGAGCAGTTGGTAAGTTTATACTCTGTCATTTTGTCACATTTTTTTAAATAGATAAAATCTGTTTATTAAGGTGTGAGGAATGGTACCCAAGGACTTACATTTTTGTATAAACTCACCCATCACCCTTGTTTTCAGCATGTCTTAAAAACCATTTCGAAGTTAAAGATATTTTGAATTTAGATAGGATTGTGCTTGAATCTCTACCTAAATACATTTGGTTATTGTCTTTTAGCCACAGATTCCAGAGCGTGTGGACAGTTTAAGTGCTCTCAGCGATTCTGCGGTTGGAGGTATGGTCATATTTTTTCTCATGACAGATGCTCTTCAAGAAAACTTTTATCATTTACAAACAATAAGAAAATTAAAGCCATCTTTCTCCATAGTTACTGTGTCAAGGAGGCATGTGATGCCACACTCTACCTCTTGTTCTGGATCTAGAAGTCGGTATAAGGTACATCATGTACAGCATGCTTCTAATTTCTGCAGGGAAATACAGGTTAATAAATTGTTAATTCCCAGTTTAATAATCTGGGAGCCCACTTCGTGTTAGTACCAAATTAAATTTTTATGATGAAGTAATGGTTGTCTGTTAATGTAATATGTAAAATAATTCTTATAATATCAGTATTTTGTATTTTTGTTTTGATTTAAATTCTCTGGATTAGATGGTGCCTAGCTCCACTGACATACTCTCAGGTCAAGGTCGGAAGCAGCGTAGCCTGAGCAGCACAGCATCTCCAGCACACCCTGGTGGATTTTTGGGAGAATGTGCAATGTATGAAGAGCCGACTGTGTCACCTACTACTGTCGGCAGGTTCTCAGTGGTCAGCACAGAAGATGAGGTCACACACAGGAAGCACAGCAGCAGATATTCCGCCCCACCTGACTTTTATCTGGATGCCCCACCTCCTCTGACCAAACGAGGCTCGCTGCCAAGGGCACAGACCTCAGTCTCAGCGGATGTCACCGTTCACACCCGTTTCATGTCTTCTGACTCTGGGGCTGAGAGCAGCCCTGCCAAAATGGCCCCCACAACGCCATCCCGTCATGGTAGGTCTGAAAGGAGAGGAAGTGACCTCATGAAAAGGGCAGTGGCTTTTCTGAGGCGCTCTGGCCGCAGTAGTAGTGTGCAAAGCTCTGATTCGCCAAGCAGAAAGGGAGGGGTTTACGGATCCTATGTCAGCAGTGACAATGATTCGGAGATGGAGTACTCAGATATAAAGAGGGAGCTTCAAAGACTAAGAGAAAAGTGAGTTTATCATGTCTATGTTTGTTTTTGATGCAGAGAGGAATATAAAATCAATGAAAAGTAATCAGAGCAATAAATAAAAATGCTTAAGTACTCACCATTGCTCGCTTCATCTTTATACAGGCATATGAAGGAGGTAACTGAATTGGAGGCCCACCACCGAGAAGAGATCGAGTTTCTCTACATCAGATTAGGGAAACCACCTCCGCCAGGTCTTTACATCCCGCCCACAGCACCCCCTGCAGGACGCAAGCGCAGGACCAGCAGACACAAACTAAAAGCTGGCAAATTGCTCAGTCCTCTAGTACAACAGCTGAGAAATGTTGCCTCTAAAACTAGTGACAGCAGCAAACTTAATGATTTAACAAAATCAGGTTAGTTGTGGAGTTAAAATATCACATTCATATATAAGTAAGGCAAATAAAAGGATCTTAGCATTTGGAATCTACCCAAGAGCATCTCGACATGTAATTTTTCTCTTCAGCAGAGGCTGCCCCAAGCTTGAATGGGTCTCCTGCCAGGGCTTCCAACTTGTCCGATGGCAAGGCTTATTCTGGGACCGGGACTCTACCTTGTTCTGTGTATGTTCCGGTTCAGACCCAACAGCCCTGCTCTCTCAAAGGATCTCTCTCCTCCGACAACTTCTACTCTGGTCTACAGGGAGAAGGACCTGGGCCACGCAGCCAGCCTGGCCAAGGTGACTTTTATTCTGATTTCTTAGCATGCACTTTAAGAGAAAATTCCTTATGTCAGTAAAATAAATAATCTGGCTTCATAGTAGATTTTGAATGACTGATTTGAGAAGATTATCCAGTCAATATCAATTGATCACCCACCTGCATAGAAATAAACATATTGGATGAAATTGACATTAAAATTAAAACCTTTTAGACATGCACATGTAAGGTTTTCTATAAAAAACATTTTCTTTAAGTCTTATATATAATTCCCAAATTGAAGTCCCAAATAATTAATAAAATCAATGGGACTTTTACATGGAGGCTTTCACATTAATAAGATGAATTACAGCCAGATTTACTTTTATGAATGCATTTAAAATAATGTAATTTTTCTGTGTGTACCCTTTTGTTCTGGTTGCTTGAGTTAGTGGATCTCACTCTTTCTCTTACCTCTGTACTTCTGTCCACAGGCTGGCCTCCTTCTCCCCAGGCGTCTGCGCAGGTCACCTATAAATCCAGTAGTAAACCACGCGCTAGATTCCTCAGTGGGCCTGTTTCTCTGTCCATCTGTTTGTATTTCTCTCCTTTCCGCCATTCTCCATGTCATATGTTGGGAGCCCCTGCTATCTTTCTCCCACTCTCTTCTCTTTAATCAATTATTTATCTTTTTGCTTATCAGTATTCATGCTTCATCTTTGATCATCCTGTGTTTCCTTCCATGGAAACCATTTAAATCCATGTTTTTGATTCTTTCTATTCTCTGTTTATCCCTACAAAATGTAATTTAGTTTTATTCAGTTGTCTGTTTTTGAAGGCAATGTTGTTATGCTTCTGGATACTTTCACTAGTTGAGCTTCACAGTATTAATCACACGTAAATCATCCTCACTTAATTTCAGTGTTTTAACATTTTGACTTGTAATCACTTACCTCTAATGAAGGTTTTTTTTAGCAGTTGTAACTTTAAAAAGTTAAATGACATGTTCAACCTCTTTGTGTGACTCTTTGTGCAGTGATTTTCTTCAGAAAACTAATTTTAACTTTTCTTTTTGTAGGGTCAACACTTAAACGCCTGTGTCTGGGTAAAGAACGTGGCAGCAGTAACTATTGTCTTTTCTTCATTTCTAAACTTTAGACTTTAAATATTCAGTTTGCCTAAGCTGAAACCTTGACACTGTTTCTTCCAGCTTTGAGCTGTGATGTTAAAAATCACATTTCACTCTCTGGACATAGTATTGTAACCAACATAATAACATTAGGCCTAAAGTATATTCGACAAGCAAGTTTAACACCAATGCTTCTAACTACACAAGTTCAATTTCTTGAAGAGTTCCAATTCGAAATATGTCAGCTCACAGTTTATAACTTACCTCAAGTTCTCTAAAAGGGCCGATATAGCTCTCTATCACCTCCTTGAGTATTTGTTACTGTACAGTTGAACACACACTTGCTATGCATCGCCCAAGCATTTGCGTCTGGATACTTGTCTTGCTTTTGATCCTGTTGACAAATTACATTTAATTTTCAGTATTAACAGTCCAGTTATAGTTTAATATGTTTTTTAATATGGTCACAGACACTGTGAATTGTATTTCATGTTTTGTGACATTCCAACATCTCAAATCTACTTTTTTAATAGGATCTGGAACACCGTCATCTGCCTCTAATCAGTCCCCAATGCCGCCAGGATCCACTCCCCCTCCTCACCAGCCAATTGGTCTCGCCCAAGCACAGACAAACAACAGCAACAACAAGACAGATGCTTTCACACAGCAGCTTCATAGGCTGGTGGATAACTGGGCAGAAGGGGTGAGGGCTCCTTCACGCTCACGCTCCCTCAGTCTAAGACCACAGCAACTGACCAGATCCAGGATCTGGAGCGCTATAGAGGTGACGTTATTAAAAATACTTCCTTACCAAATATTTAAAGGGTATGTTCACCTAAAACTTTACATTTTAAAATCCTTCATTCATAATATTCCAAAGTTCTTCCAAATTACTATTAAATGGAATCATGCAGATTTTGAACAACATCAAGATGAGTACATTAAACAATGACTGACGTTTCACTATTCCTTTAAATTGTTATGATGATTTTATGTCTCCTTTATACTCATGTTAAAAGTTTAGTGTGAAACAACATAGGCATTCTCTAATGCTAATGTCTTTTTTTAGGTTCCAATTTCAATAGAAAGATTGAATGCTTCTCAGCTGTCTCTATCATGGCCGCAGATTGATTTCCATGCCTCTGTGATGCCGACTGACACTTCACAAGTACTCCAGCGCAGTTTTATGGTGGCTGGTAACCCTTACGGAAAGATGCTGAGCGCCCCACACTTAGACATGGACCACTGGCCAGCAATGACTGCCATTCATAACCAAGAAGTCTTTGCTTTCACTGCTGTGCACTCCCCCTCTTGGACAGCACCTTCTTCCCCCAGCGAGGTTCCTAATTCTAGAAATAGGACCATGTAGCTTCACAATCACCGTACTTATACTTCTTACTCTGTTGCCAAAAATACTTCAGAGTTTCTTTAGAGTGCTAGTTAGGCCTAGCAGTGTGCAATTCTATCTGTTGCAGTTGTTAGCATGTAGTTGCTTACAATGTAGTAATCCCTCATGAACATATAAATACTCAGGCCAACAACGTAGGCATATCATCTGTAGTGTACATTCAGTATTATTGTACATATTCATAAAGCCTATGTAGCATAACTGAATTTTAGCATAGGCATATGTACAAAATGTATATTTTTCATCAAAATATATTTAGCTTGCTAGTGAGAGAATCAACTTCCTTCACACCTTGAGCTGTACACATATGTAAATGCTATAAGGTACAGTAAGATGTTCTTAAATTTGTGTAGATGTGTATAGACACTGTTTATACTTCTGTAAATATAAGCTCTGTCTGCATATGTGCATAATATGGACAAGTAAATGAAAGACTAAGGTTTAGGTCAATCAGTGTTTTGGGTTGAATGGTATCACATCACAGTTGGCTGAAAACACTGGAGTTTGGAGCGATGATCATAGTCATGACATCACTGTGAATTTTTCACCGCGTCCTGCAGCGAACGCTAATTTCGCAACGCACTAGTCAAAAACACATTATCGCATGCTAGAAAAGTAACAACCAAGACCTGCACTGAGAAAAGAGAACTTTAACAGACTGTACATTTCAGGTGAACAAGCCTGCTAGAGTGCCTTGAACTGCAACTGAGGACTGTGCTACGTACATTACCAGCCAGTGTACCAAGGGTAATGGTTTAGTGTTACCAAGCATAATTCTAACTAAATTCATGTTTTCCCCACCTGCGGTTTATGATGTCCTTTATGGACATTTATAAAAATGCATTTTAACACTACCTATTTGTGGTATAAATTAGTTACGAGTGTCATTTTGTTTTGAATGTATGTGCATTAATATTATTTTCTACATCATCTGATACAGTAAAAAATCACATTGACCTAGAGCAAAAAGGAAAGCAAGATTTGTTTTCAAAACTGTAAAGTTGTTTTTCTGAATCTAAAAAACTAATTTTACAATTAATGAGCTGAATGATCTCTACAGCTGCAGTCATGTTTGCAGTTACAGCACAGTCTCATTGCACAATGTCATCATTTAGATCACACTGCTACTGTTTTTAATTAATAATCCTAATACTGGAGTTTCCTGGTGGAGCAACAGTGATTTCATAGAGTGTTGACACAGACTGATGCTTTGCAACATACAGTATCAAAGACCATGTCCACCTAACTATTAACACCTAAATTTGAGTTTCAAAATATAGCAATTACTAGTACACAAACATCTGTAGATGTTCTCTTAATTTATAGTTCTGGCGAGGTATATGTTATTATAACAAAAAAACAAAAAAAAAAGGGGAATGTAACAGGATGAAGTAGACAAAATCTGCTCATGCTAACTTTTAATAAACTTTTTTTCTGTATGTTTTCATTTTGCAGTACACATAAGTGACATTAGATCTAACCTTGCGCTAAGCAGAGGTGTAAACAAGTCATTATTTTATTGTCATTGTAACTGGTTCTGTAATGTATGAGTCTTTACGACTCTTGTGATACAGCAAATATTATTTCAGTTTATTATCTATTATTTTTGTATTTCACCAATGCAGCAGTTAACTAATGATTAATCAAATATATTGAAATAAAATTAAATGGGCTATTGATATTTGGGTCACGAAACATTATAATGGATTTTTTTTTCTGGTGAAACTGCAGTAAGTAAATAAGACTGCACTATGACAGTGCTTGCATTATGACATTACTAAGCTTGTTTACTTTCTGTATGGCTATGTAGACTGAAATATGAGGCAGTCCATCTCAAATCTGAGCCATTTTAATTGATGTTTGTCTTCAGAAAAAGTTCACTACACTATGTTACAATCTTCGAAAGAAATGCATTTTGTTACACATTTTCAGAAATGTCTACCCTGTACAAACAAACAAATAATAGGCAATATGACGTCGATGTAATGATTCATATCGTGAGAAAACTTGTTGCAGAACTTTTCCATAACACTATTTTGAAAGATTAAAGGTACAATCAGGATTTGCAGTAACTGGTCATTTTTTGTGGTTGTGCAAATGCTGTGGTAACTCATATTTAGAGTTTCTTTAGAATGCAACAACAGCACATTTGCCTGACTGTACGTTTATATTTTATTTCATAAATACAGTAAATTTTATGTATGTTTCCCACGCTAGGAAGTTTTCACTACTTCCAAGTGATGGCACTACGAGTTTCATCACTCTTAGTGTTTCACCATGCAGAGTGAATATGCCTGAATATTCAACGAAATTTCATAATCGATTATTATCTATATTAAATGGAAGGTTTTTTTTAGTTCTTGCAGCTTTTGTCAATACCAAGCTGTAATCAATGTACTGGTGTTTTATCTTACCTCAAGGTTTACGTGTAACGTTAACAGATGATATCTTTATTCAGTGTTGAAGAGACGTCCAGTGAATCGCGGTAACTGTTTGTTATGTGGTCGTAAATAGACAGAAAGAGAGACAGAAAGACACATATTGTCATGCCTGTAACATTACCGCATCAAAACACTGCTTGTTTAACATTTCGACGACGATTTCCATATAGAGATCACGAAAAAATGAAGATAATAAAAATACCGTGAAAGTTTGGACAAAACTTTTATACTCACCAAATCCATTTTTAATGAGAAGGATTTCGACCAAATCAACGTCAAATGAGGTAAGTATCAGCCTGAGATTCACCACAGAAAGTATGAATTAAGTTAAATAATTAAGATATTCTGACACTCTTTCCATTAAAGGGTTAGTTCACCCAAAAATGAAAATTATGTCATAATTACTCACCCTCATGCCATTCCAAACCCGCAAGACCTTCGTTCATCTTCGGAACACAAATTAAGGTATTTTTGATTAAATCTGAGAGCTCTCTGACCCTCCCATACAGCAATACAACAGCAATGTTTCCAGACCCAGAAACGTAGTAAGGACATCGATAAAACAGTCCATGTGACATCAGTGGTTCAACTTCAATTTTGCAAAGCTACGAAAATACTTTTTGTGCGCAAAGAAAACAAAATTAATACAATTTATTCACATTCTTCTCCCCGAGTTAAAGTCTTGCCTTTTTGGAGAGTTCCGGGACGCATGCGCGCTTTCCCCAGAAAGTAATCATAATGTAATCCGCGTTGTTTAGGTTCAGCATGCACGCTTTAAACAACCTGCAGTTTGTGCAGTTGTACCATTTTTTAAAACTTGCTTGCAAAAATACTTCTTGAGCACATGTCCGTCCACAGAACCAGCTGGTATCTCTTACATCTATCTTTGGAAATGTATTTATTTACTTGAAGTCGTTTCTAGTAGCATCATTATTATTTTAAAGTTGGCTACTTATTAGATATGATTAAAATTTGTTATCCATTTCTTTTGTATTCCGTTGTTTTACATGGTCTGATTTCTACCATATAAGGGCATTTTGAAGTGGGCCGTGTCTGCGCCCTACCTTTGATAACCAGTATTGGCTTTAGTTGTCTGTTTTCCCATTTCTTTACAGATCACCATGGACGAAGTTGCACTGAGACTAGCTTTGGCCTTCTGTTCACCTTTGTCAACTTGTCTCCTACAAACAAAGTAAAATTAACAGGCTATAAGCAAAAAGTACAATAACTTTATTTCTCAAATTTCTTGAATCTTCAAGTCATTATTCTCCACCAGTGTTTATTAAATAGTCACTTAATTGAGATAGAAAATGAAACAAAACAAAATGAATACTGTAATCTGTGTGTAAAAAAAATTCAGTGCAAATTTGTCCATGATTTCATTTCGCTTTTAAGATCTTAAATTTAAATTAAATTTATATTCATTAGTAATGGCAAGATTAGACTCAAGATACCATGTAAATAATTTATCATGTTTGAGGAGAAAGTCCACATTACTATGTACCATGGGTTGTTTTGTTTTCTAAGTACGCTTGACATTCTCTGTGTACTGGACCAAAATAAGCTCTGTCCTAAGAGCCTGTCGTAAGAGCACATTTTGACAATGATACTTGTTCACTTTAATACAGAAACAAGGTATAGATATTTACAGCTTCCACATTAATGCTACGGTCACCAGTCGCTATGCTACTACAATCATCACAACGTGTTGAATCAGTCTCAAGAGGTCCATTTTGAAGTCAAGATTTCCAAAGATGCCTTCATCAGCCAGTTTAGAATGCAAGTAAATACACAAACACTATCCAAGGCATTAAAATGTTCAAGCGATTGTAAAACTTAACATTTCTCACTCATTCACTATTCTCATGTGAACAGCCAGACTTGTCTAATTTAAATTAAACTATTAACAGGAAAAAAAAACAAACTTTTTAGTACATTAATTTTAACTACCCCCATTTTGTCTAATAACCTCAGTCCCTTTTTTTAAAGCTAATAATAACAATCCTTTTCACATTAGGACCATATATGGGGTTGTGAAGGAAAAAGAAGAAGCTCAGCAGCAATACAGTCAAGCGGTATCTCGAGGACAAAGTGCTGGACTTGTCAGGTACTTGGTATTGTAAAAAGATTATTCCCATAGCTCAAACGGTAGAGCATGGCGCTAGCTTGCAATGCCAAGTTTATGGGTTTGCAACTGATTAAAATAAATGTATACCTTTAATGCAATGTAAGTCGTGTTTGATAAAAGCGTCTTCCAAATTCATAAGTGTATGTAGATAATCATTTATGTTAAGATATCTGTAAATAAGAGTTCAACAAAATATATTTATTTCAGGATTATTAAATATTCTTGTCTCTCTTTCTATTTTAGTGCTGTTGGAAGGACTTTAGAGGACTTTAAAACCTCAGTGACGGTGGCTGCTTTTAGTAAAGTGACCTTTGAGTTGACCTACGAGGAACTACTAAAGCGTCGCCTCGGCAAATATGAGCTACTCATCAATGCCCAACCAATGGAAAGAAACACATCAAGTTTGATGTAATTAGGGTTTATAGATGGGGTTTATGTTCATCATAATGGAAAAAGACAAAGAAATATAAGATTTCTGAATTTTATTTTGGTTAGATCAGGGGTAGGCAAGTTCAGTCCTAGAGAGCCGCAGTCCTGCAGAGTTCAGCTCCAACCCTAATCAAACACACCTGAACAAGCTAATCAATGTCTTCAGGATTACTAAGGCTATAGGCAGGTGAGTTTTATTTTCAGGGTTAGAGCTGAACTCTGCAGGACTGCAGAGGCTCTCTAGGACCAAACTTGCCTACCCCTGGGTTAGATTGACATACACATACATGAGAATCCAGGAATTTACTTCTTGGAGGTCAAAGGTGGTCTGAGCACTAAGGATCTGACCAATGCAGTCACAAACTGCAGGAAGACAAATGTGATGATGACCAGAAAGTGTTCACTGAATGACACCGATTTACAGCAACAAAGTGACATGAATCATTCATTTACAGTTAGAGTGTAGGAACTCAATCCTACTTGACAAATATCATTATTTTTCAGGTATCAAATGGCTACTTCGTCCACTACTTTGCACCTACAGATATTCAGTGCATTCCCAAAAATGTGGTGTTTATCATTGATGAAAGTGGCTCCATGTCGGGCAAAAAATAGAGCAGGTGAATTTGTTTTTTCTTCTTATTTGTTTCTTCTTTGGGTTTTACTTGGTGAACTGTTGACGTTTTTAATAGTTCAGTTTTGAATAACCAATGATTTTGGTACAACTTTAATCACTGAACCTACCACATTGATATGTTTGCCATATATTTAATAATATTATTATATAAATTGATTTTTCATCTTACTTCCTTATGCCAGATTCTTACCTACTTTCAGCCATATTACGATTACACAACTCAGAAACCTCTGACAACCTCTCCTCCATGTATGTGGGCCTTGTGTGTATTCATTTTATATAGTGCAGTATCTTGTAAAGTATCTGACATCATATGTCCCTATTTTCATTCTTTCATTCGATTTTTGTCCTTCAGTGAGGAGCATTAGGATTTTGAAATCTTCTGGTAATGCTAAGCCACTTTGCTATGATGTCCCTCTTGCTCAGAAAGTCAGACTCCAACTGAATGTCCCATCAGGTCAGATATCCATTCTAGTACAGTTTGTTTTATAAACAGTAATATTACATTGCTTTCATTTATTCATGTGTATTTAAGCAGTGTAATGTTTGTCTATAATCAGAGTTCTTTATGTATGGGCAGCATGAGTCATTTGGAGGAGAAGGCTTCAGTCAAAGCTCAATTCACTACAAAACTAATCACCACCTGCTGCTCAGCACTAATGAAATTAACTACACTGATGGGCAGGAAACTGTGAAGTTTTCATGGGAGCAAGACCTCACCCACCATGAGAGAGAAAAGTAATATGCTTGAACAGTGGAGATTGTTGAAAAGATTTTTAATGAATTAATTTTATTTTTTTTTTGCATTTTCATTTAGAGAATTTACCAAACGCTCTAGAAAGAAAAAAAAAGAGTTTCTGTCTCCTTTTTAGACAGTTATTTTGTGATATTGAGGTAGAATTCATTCATCATTTAAAGGGATAGTTCATTTTAAAATGAAAATTCTGTCATTAATTACTCACCCTCATGTTGTTCTAAACTCGTAAGACCTTCGTTCATCTTCATGAAATCTGAGAGCTTTCTGACCGTAGGCAGCAATGCAACTACCATGTTCTAGGCCCAGAAAGGTAGCAAGGGCATTGTTAAAATAGTTCATGTGACATCAGTGGTTCACCTGTAATTGTGTGAAGCTATGAGAATCCTTTTTGTGCATAAAGAAAACAAAAATAATGACTTTATTCAACAGTTCTTCTCTTACGTGTCAATCTCCGCTGTGCATTTACGAGAGTACCACGACGCATGCGTGTGGTGCTGCTGACGCAGAAGCTGGCATTCTGATGTAAAACCCGGATGCGCTGCAGCTTGTTTTTAATCACACGCATGCGTTGTGGTGCTGTCATGAACACGTGTCAAAATCTGACATTTTTGTTTTCATTGCACACAAAAAGTATTCTCGTAGCTACATAAAATTACAGGTGAATCACTGATGTAATGGACTATTTTAACAATGTCCCTACTACCTTTCTGGGCCTTGAACTTGGTAGTTCCATTGCTGTCTATGGAGGGTCAGAAAGCTCTCGGATTTCATCAAAAATATCTCAGTTTGTGTTCCGAAGATGAACAAAAGTCTTACGGGTTTGGAACGACATGAGGGTGAGTAATTAATGACAGAATTTTAATTTTTTGGGGTGAACTATCCCTTTAAGACTCGTTCACACCAAGGACGATAACTATAATTATGAAGTTTGTGACTCTGTGACTTGTTGGAATCACTTTCAGAATGAGATTTTCCAGCTGATGAATGATAACAGTGAGAGCTGGAGCGTTTAAAGCGGCAGACGACAAAACTGGAGTGCGCACTAATAAACAGAACATTATCGTCCGTTGGTGTGGAGTGTGTGGACACTAATAGTTATTAATATAAAGTATTGTCTTTATAGTTATCATTCTTGGTGTGAACAGGCCTTTTATTGTTTCATCAGCGTGTCTCTGATTCTACGGAGCAATGAATTTGATGTTACCATGGGAAACATCCGCGTTGCTATTCTTCTTCATTAAAAAGACAGTGACATTTTTCTGTGGCCTGCCATTTGGCAACAACCAAAAGATGTCGGTTTGATGGGTATTTTAGGTAAGAGAGTCACTGTACTGATACTTCCGTACTGATACCAAAGATGGTCTATGAGTGAAGATATTGTGGTTATTAAACCAGCACTGTGGATAATATTTTAAGGAGAGGCTGGTATTTCATATGATGAGATCCCAGGATCGCAAACACCAACTTTAAAGATAAAGGACAAGGAAGTGAAGACATCTTGGTAAGTGATCAATAAATATACACTGCCAGTCAACAGCTTGGAATAATTAAGATTTAAAAAAAATCATAATAAAATAAAGAATTTTCTAATGCTACACAAGGCTGCATTTATTTGATAAAAAACAGTAAAACTGATACATCGTGCAATATTATTATAATGTAAAATAACTTATATTTTCATATATTTAAAATGTAATTTATTCCTGTGATGCCAAAGCTGAATTTTCATTATCATTACTCCAGTCTTCAGTGGCATGTGATCCTTCAGGTGCTTCGTTATTGAACAAACAAACTTTTGACTGGTAGTGTGTCCATATAGCTGAATTTCTATAAAAAATGCATTTTGGCATAAGTTTTTAAGTAAGTGTGTTGTTATTTCAGGGTGATGGTGAAGGACTACAGACTTGCTTCTGCTCCTGTGGTTGGATGTTGGCTTGTACCATTCCAGGCTGTCACACAGCAGGAGCTCTCTGACTTCACCGTCACTCAGCTGTAGAGTTAGGCAAAAAAAAAGACAGATTATCCATTATTGTGCTGACCGTTCCAATAATAACATATTCTTTATATGGACATTGTTAATCAAATAGTTATACAATTGTCTTCTAATGGCAAATAGTAGGGGCATGACCAAGTTATTTTCATCTTTAGCATGTTTTGATTACCACGTCTTTGAATGTTTATGAATGTGTTTTTCTTTGCTCACACAAATGCACCTGGGCTTTAACGGGCAACCCATGTGATAAAATAGCAATTAAAATTGCAAACCAAAATTATCTATACATAGTAACCCTTTGATTGATGCCTCTGTAAGCATTGATTGCGATAATTGCTGGAAAATTTGTATTTTTTGTGGTCCCGCCTGAAAATATATTAAAAGCACAACACCAAGCTTCTACAGAATGTATTTACAAATTATATAGATAATATATTTTCTTGAAAAGCATGCCTCGATATTTAGTTATGTGGTGTTCAAGAGACTCTCATTGCAAATAAAGGGGGAGGTTTCTTCATCTGGTCAATAATAGCCAATAGCATGCTGTGGACTTGGGTTTAAAGGCAGTGTGTGTTTCGAGGTCAGTTTCCTGTGAAGGTCATGATGGATCAAGCAGCTCTCCGGCTGATTCTCTTGGGCGTCTTTCTCATCTCAGCCTCTTCAGACCCTGTTAAGAAGGTGAGGGGCAAATTTTAGTTTAAGATGAAGAAGACAAAATTCTTAAATACTCTACCAAATCAGGGTAAAACAACATATTTATATCGTTATTTGAGATAAAGTTCTAGACCCCAGACAAACTAGATATACTTGATACTTGTTGAATATACACTATTGTTCAAACATTTAAATCAGATTTAAATAATACTAATAATACTTTTAATCATTAATTTGATCATAAGTGACCATAAAGATAATTATTATGATGAAACATGTCTAGGTCAAATAAATGTTTTTTATTTTATTTTTTTTTACTTCATATTCATAAAGAAATCCTGAAAAAACATAACATTTCAGCAAAAATATTAAGCAGCACAACTGTTTGCTACATTAATTAATACACAATGTTTCTTGATCAGCAAATTGGAATATTAGAATGATTTCTGAAGGATCATGTGACAGAACACTGGAGTAATGGCTGTTTTTACAAAATTACTGTTTTCATATGTATTTTTGGTTTAATAAATGTAACCTCAGTGAGCATAGACATTTTTCAAATACATTAAAAAAAAATGTAGTTCCCAAACTTTCGAACAGTAGTGTATCATGTATTTTAATATTTAATATGATTTAGCTTGTTGTATATTCTGTCTTTTTTCTTAACAAAACCACAATGCAATGTACGAAACCAGCTAGTTATTCTCAACTGCTTGGTTTATCTCTTTAGACATTTTCATTTTGATTATGTCTATAATGCCATTGTTGACAGAAAAATGCAGTTTGAGTCGACAGAACTATCTATTGCGCAACTGTGTACACTGAGATACAGTCATCAAAACGTATTTGTCTTTCAGTCCAAAGGCCTTTTCTCCATGCCATTTTTGAGCAGTAAATATTTGAGCAATCCTATGTGAAAAGGAGGAGTAAATGTGCACCAGCCAATCACGTTGACCATACTTTAATATGAGATAAAATACTTTAATATTTACTATTCAATGTCTCAACAGAAACAAAATGTGGATATATACAGCTTCTATATTAACTCCATGGTCACCAGTCGCTACGCCACAACAGTCATCACAAGCCGTGTTGCGAACACACTGAATGAATCTCAAGAGATCCAGTTTGAGGTCAAGATTCCCAAGAATGCCTTCATCAGCAAATTCAGAATGTAGGTGAACATGAGTAGTGTTAGGCCTATATAAGTAGAAATAAAGAGGTAAATAAGCCATTTATAGCATGTGGGCGTCAGATCAGGTAAATCTTATAATACAGCCAAACAAGAACAAAATAAAGATTTAGAAATTATACCTTCTACTAGTCCAAGAATAAATAACTTGTATGTACTTTTTAAAGTACAAGGTATAGTAGCTAACAGTACAGATGCTTTAATACAAACAAACTTATTTAGTGGTGCTACCATTTGAGTGAGATGGATATTTTTTAAATGAAATGCACACAGTTTAAGTTTCTGGTATATTAAGAGAACATCAGTGTCACTTTCTCCATAGGACCATAGAGGGAAAAACATATGATGGGGTTGTGAAGGAAAAAGAGGAAGCTCAACAGCTATACAATCAAGCAGTATCTCGAGGACAAAGTGCTGGACAGATCAAGTACGGGATATTTAAAAATATATAGGTCCATAAAAATATCCATTTATAGTATAATTAGTAGTATGTTGGTATCTGTTTATATTTCAGATCTGTTGGAAGGACTTTAGAAGACTTTAAAACCTCAGTGACGGTGGCTGCTTTTAGTAAAGTGACCTTTGAGTTGACCTACGAGGAACTGTTAAAGCGTCGCCTCGGCAAATATGAACTACTCATCAATGCGCAACCAATGCAGCCAGTGGCTGACTTCAAGGTAATGGAAGAAATTAAGAAGAAATGAATAATCAATTTTAATGTATAGTTAGATGATGTTTCTTTTCCTCACATTAGATGGATGTACACATCCAAGAGAAACCAGGAATTTCCTCCTTGGAGGTGAAAGGAGATTTGAGCACCGGTGATCTGGCAAATGCCATCAAAACCACCAGAGCAGACAAAGATGTAAGAGCTTAAATGAGAGTTAAAACACTGTTTAGATGTTCTCAATATGCTCATACACTTAAAATAGTTACCAGATGAACAAACGGATCATTTCAGGCATGGGTGACCTTATACCCCACTCAAGATCAACAGACCAAGTGTAAAAGCTGTGGAGAAAATGGGTTGAATGGAGACCTGCTTGTAACATACGATGTTGAGAGACGAAATCCCAAAGGAGAAGTCATGGTACATTTTAAATAACATGCTTTAAAAAAGTAAAATAGACAAAAACAGAAAAATTTTGAAAGACTGGAATTTTTCTGTTCTCTCAGGTATCAAATGGCTATTTCGTCCACTACTTTGCACCCTCTGATGTTCCACGTATTCCCAAAAATGTGGTGTTTATCATTGATCGGAGTGGTTCTATGCACGGCAGAAAAATAGAACAGGTAAATGTCAACGTTTCAGCCAAATCAAAAGCATATAATGAGCTATGAAATGTTTTGACAGTAAAACCCTTGAACCCTTGACCCACTCTTGGAGGATATTGCAGCATTTTGCATTTTCATGTTAAAAGGACAGGGATTTCTGTATTGAAGTCAGTGTGAAGTTGCTTTCTTTAAAATAGTAAGAAACTGTCCATGTCTGTTAAATGTGAGTATGCAGTCTTAATGAAGAAAGAATAACTTTCAGATGTGCTGTCATTCTTTAGACTCGATTGGCACTGCTAAGGATTTTGAGTGATCTTGATGAAGATGACCACTTTGGATTGATCACCTTTGACAGTGAAGTTAACTTATGGAAGCGTGAGCTCCTCAAAGCTACTGAGGCAAATCTGAAGAATGCGAAATCGTTCGTGAATGAGATCACAGATAGAGGAGGTGAGTTACAGCACTAATGCTACATAAGGAGTAAAAAAGTTGTACCTCACAGTGACACAACTATGTTTGGTCTTCCTTTAGCCACGGACATAAACGCTGCAGTTCTAGCAGGAGTGGACATGATCAATCGACATCCACGAGAGGGAACAGCCTCCATCCTGATCCTGCTGACTGACGGAGATCCCACTTCAGGCACAGAAACACTGATACATACAAACACTCACTGCCCACATTTAGCTGTCTAAAGGAAAAGCTGCATCAGAAACACTAATGTTGTCAGTCAGCACATTTTGTGTTTTTGCACTTTTATGAATATGTGATATATTCTTTCTCACTTTGTGATTCCTATGCATTGTAATACAAAATCAAGCATACCTAAATAATAATTGTTTGTAATGCCTGATCAAAAAAACAGTCAAAAATACCATTTATACTGTTTAAAAAATACAGCGGGTATGTTTCAGACATTACACAATAGCATTTTTGTGACTATTTTTTCCATAATTTTTTTCCATAAATTAATTTTACGAAAAAAAATAGTACTTTTAAATGTTTGATTGTTCACTTAACAGATTTTTACAAGAGCATTTTTGCATTGTTTTTCTGATAAAATTGAGGTTAGGATGTCAATGGAAGTTTTAATTTTGCACCACATCAGCATCTGAGGCACATTAAAAAATAATTTAGGCAAAAGTCATTAGCATTTTTTGTAAGAATTTTTGTTGTTTGTTTGTTTCGTTTTCCTCTTATATCCTCAATTTACATGAATTTCTGTCATGTTGTCTGAATATTAGAATTAAAAAAAAAAAAATTCTCTAACAGGTGAAACCAACATAGAGAAGATAATGGCCAATGTGAAAAAGGCCATTGGGACAAAGTTTCCCCTCTATTGCCTTGGTTTTGGATATGATGTTAACTTTGACTTCCTGACAAAGATGTCACTGGAAAATGGTGGAGTTGCTCGCAGGATTTATGAAGATTCAGACGCTGATCTACAGCTGCAGGTGAACTACAGATGATCAGCTGAGAATTCATCTTTAATGCTGAACGGTTCTGTCTTTGAGCACATTTAAAGTTAGTTTTATTTTTAGGGCTTCTATGAAGAAGTTGCCGTCCCTCTCCTCACTGATATTCAACTTAAATACCCAGTAGGGACAAACCTTACCAAGACCAGCTTTAGCTTGTACTTCAATGGCTCCGAGATTGTGGTGTCAGGACAAATCACAGACAACAGTGTGGAGAGTTTCACCACTGAAGTCATCGCAGTATCAGTAAGATCTTCACTAATCTTCTCTTTAGTGGCATATTATTAGGATCATTGGTCGATTGTGTAGAAGTTGGGAATAATAGGTTTGTTTTTATAGTGGGTTATGGGTGAAAGTGGTACTGACAGCATTCCTGATAAAAATATTCAGTAGTGTTATTATTTCTGAGCAGAAAGGCAGTAAAGTGACGTATCAGGACACTATAATGACAAAAGACCCCAGTGATGTCCCTCCTGAGAATGAAGATTTCATGCAGAGATTGTGGGCCTACCTTACAGTGAAGCAGCTTCTGGAGAGACAGTAAGTTTATGAGTGATATGAAATTCTGCGATTTAAGATGAACATTGAGGACATCTTTTTATCTCAGGGTGCTTCTTAAAGGACAAGAGAAAGAGGATGAAAAGAAGGAAGCTCTTAAACTCTCCCTGAAATACCAGTTTGTCACTCCCCTCACCTCTATGGTTGTTACCAAGCCACAGGAGGGTGAAGTGGAAGTTGCCGACAAACCCAAAGAGGGAG